AGTTGTACTACAAAGTCACCAGTTCTCATCTTCCAGCTCCCCAGCTAGTCCGCGTACTAAAGTTGTACTACAAAGTCACCAGTTCTCATCTTCCAACTCGCCAGATACTCCGCGTACTAAAGTTGTACTACAAAGTCGCCAGTTCTCATCTTCCCACTCCCCAGCTACTCCGCGTACTAACGTTGTACTACCAAGTCGCCAGTTCTCATCTTCCAGCTCCCCGGCTACTCCATATACTAAAGTTGTACTAGAAAGTCCGCGTGCTACAGTTCTACTACAAAGTCGCCTGCATTTCGCGCCCGACACGCCCGATCTCCGCAGAGGGTTGCGCGCGCACAGACTCAATCGCACTCTCGCCTGCATTTCGCACGCGCGACACGCGCAGTCTCCGCAGAGGGTTGCGCACGCGCCGGGTAAATCGCACTCTCGCCTGCATTTCGCGCACTCGACACGCACGATCTCCGCAAAGGGTTGCGCGCGCACCGGACAAATCGCACTCTCGCCTGCATTTCGCGCACTCGACGCGCACGATCTCCGCAGAGGGTTGCGCGCACACCGGCCGAATCGCGCTCTCGCCTGCATTTCGCGCGCTCGACGCGCGCGATCTCCGCAGAGGGTTGCGCGCGCAGCCGGCAAATCGCACTCTCGCCTGCATTTCGCGCACTCGACACGCACGATCTCCGCAGAGGGTTGCGCGCGCGCCGGGCAAATCGCGCTCTCGCCTGCATTTCGCGCACTCGACACGCGCGATCTCCGCAGAGGGTTGCGCGCGCAGCCGGCAAATCGCACTCTCGCCTGCATTTCGCGCGCTCGACACGCACGATCTCCGCAGAGGGTTGCATTTTCGGTTGACGCTGTTCGTCCCACCCTCCGCCTTTAAGAGAGAATTTATAAAGTGGGGAAATGTTTTTCATTAGGACATCTCCCGTGCTAGTTCTCCACTCACCACACTTGCATACTCATTGCACGCTTGCACGCTCATCATTAGACTTGCATCCTTTGACGCTTGCGTACTTTGCACTTGGATGCTTTCGCTCTTCCAGTGTGTGTGTGTGTGTGTCACACCCTGTTTCTAAGGGTTTGGCAATGAATTCCACC